AGAATACACTAGTATTTCATATTTGTGGATTTGATAACTGACCAGTAATCCAAAGGTCCATGCTATGCACTTTAAATTCTTTAATAATTAATTTTCCTTCTGAAAAATTGTCTTCAAATGAAAGACAAAACTTTAGTGAATGCAGATGCTTTTAACTTGTAACATTATACACAGGCATATCGAACTATGTTCTTTAGAAACTAAAGAAATGTGATTGAAGAGCACATAAGAGTCCCAACAAATTTCTTTATTTAAAAATCTGAAATTCCAAGATTTCCAAGGGTGTCAAGAAGTATTTCATAACATCACTTAGCTCCAACACCCTAAACAACTTTTATGAAAAAGAATAAAAATTAAAAATTTTAATTCAAATGGCATGTTTTTTATTTTTGTGTTTTTCTGGTTTGAGGGCAACAGTGGGCAGTGCTCAGGGTTTACTCCTGGCTCTGTGCTCAGAGATCACTCTGGGCAGTTCTTTGGGGACCATTTGGGGTCATGAGGAACCTGGGTCATCCATGTAGAAGGTGAGTCTGCTTTACCTGTTTTACTATCCCTCTGGGTCCTCGAATGATATTTTGGAATGAAAGAAGACCATTTTTCTTTCATTCTGAACTTATTTTAAAATACATAAAATTGTAAATATTTTATATTTGTTTTTATAACTAGGGATCATTCTTTAATTTCTATAAGAAAAAGATATATACATTTCTTTCACTTCAGCTAACTGCCATACTGGCACTTAAAATTCTGAATTTATCAGACATGAAGGACTACATCAAGATATAGGGCTGGAGAGACAGTATAGTGGGTAGAACGCTTGCGTTTCATAGCCCCAAGCACAGTTTTATCTTTATATGGTCTCCAGCCCCAGGAGTGATGACTTAGTGCAGAGTCAAGAGTAAGCCCTGAGCACGGCTAAGTCTAGCCCCAAACAAAACAAAAGAAATGATCAAACACTTGGAAAGGTTAGTGAATACCACCACTATACACTAAATATGACTAGAAAGGCTCACAAAACTAATTTTTTTTTCACTTTTTGGGTGACACCCGGTGATGCACAGGAGTTACTCCTGGTTCATGAACTCAGGAATTACTCCTGGCGGTGCTCAGGGGACCATATGGGATGCTGGGAATCGAACCTGGGTTGGCTGAGTGCAAGGCAAACCCCCTACCCGCTGTGCTATCACTCCAGCCCCAGAACTAATTTTTTATTTGTTTCAGTTTTGGGTCACAAAAGGTGATACTCAAGTACCACTCCCTGCTCAATGCTTAGGTCACCCCTAGTGGAGCTAGGGGTACCACACAGTGCTGGGGCTTCCAGCCGAGACAACTGCATGGAAAACGTGTTCTATCTTGGTGTACTCTCTCCAGCCCATAACTAGTATGTTTGTGTATTTAATGAACAGAAGTTAAGTGTTCTGTGGGGATCTGATAATGAAGTAATTGCGATCTCTGAGAACTTTATAAAACGACTATTCTAACTACATCTAACAGTGATCCCATGAGGAATTTATGATTTTTATCACACCTCCTACATAAGGAAAGGCCAAAAGTCATGTAATTTGCCATCTGAGGTCATATAGTCAAGTACCAGAGAATTTAGACCCAGATTTCTGGCTTGAATCATGTCTTATTTTTCAGTATAGACTGAAAGTAGAGTAAGGAAAGTAAAGGACTTGCTTGGGTGCAAAATTTAAGATGTCAAAAAAACACTTGAGGGGCTGGAGCAATAGCACAGTGGGTAGGGTGTTTTCCTTGCACGCGGCCGACCCGGGTTCGATTCCCAGCATCCCATGTAGTTCCCCGAGCACTGTTAGGAGTGATTCCTGAGTGCAAAGCCAGGAGTAACCCCCGAGCATCAGCGGGTATAACCCCCCCAAAAAAAACACTTGATAAATAGATGATCTGATATTATAATAATCTAGAATTAATGCAAAATTCTATGCTAAACTAAATATCAAGTTAATATACAGTCAGAATCAGAAAGACTTAATTTTTCTGTTTCCATAGACTATTATAAATTTTTGTGCATGAGAACAGGGTCTCACTTCATCCCTCTCATTCCATTTGTACCCCACTTTATTACAAAAGAAAAGGCAAACTAAAGCTTTCCCTTGTTAAGTCTTGAACTTTACTTAATGATTGGCTAATCTGAGCATAGGGTTCAAATATATGAACCCTTATAGTATGTCTATGAAACATACAAAAACATCTGGCATTGAATACATTTAATTAATATAATCCTGGAGATATTCAGAGCATTTTAGGGGGTGAAAAGAGAAATCTTTTCCTGGCAAAATGAAATTCCATGATTAGCTTTAGTTTGCTACACTGGCTATACCTCACTTAATCACATACACATGTAACAAATGTTTATTGAGCTCCCATTATGTACCCTATGTCAATCATGTGATCAAAATATAATGAAATAATTACACAAATTTTATTTTGATGCAGGATTGAACTAAGGTTCATACAAAGTATGTATGTGGTCTATAACTCCGCTACATCCTCAAAAAAATATTAGCACTGTAGCATTGTCCTCCCGTTGTTCATCATTTTGCTCAAGCAGGCCCAGTAACGTCTCTATTGTGAGACTTGTTGTTACTATGTTTGGCATATCCAATACTTCATGGGTCACTTGCCAGGCTTTGCCCTGCAGGTGAGATACTCTTGGTACTTGCCAGTCTCTCTGAGAGGGGCAGAGGAATCGAACCCGGCTTGGCCTGGCCAGCTGCAAGCAAGGCAAATGCCCTACCACTGTGCTGTTGCTCTAGACTCAAAATAATATTACTACAAAGTTATTGAGGTATATTTTCTTATTTAATCATCATATTATATACCTCCTTTGTAGATAGGAAAAACAAGGCACAGAAAGGATGTGTAATTTGTATGTGTAATTTGTTCAAGGGTATCCAGTTAGGAAGTAGTAAAGATCTGCCTTATGAAACCACTTGCTATTTTTGAACTAAAACAATTCAATTTTTTTTAAATTTTATTGAATCACTGTGAGATAGTTATAAGCTTTCATGTTTGGGTTACAATCACACAATGATCAAACACCCATCTCTCCACCAATGCACATTCCCCATCACCAATATCCCCAGTATAACCCCCCTTTCCCACCCTCCCCCTGCCTCCATGGCAGACAACATTCCCCATACTCTCTACTTTTGGGCATTATGGTTTTCAATGCAGACACTGAGAGGTTATCATGTTTGGTCCTTTATCTACTTTCTGCACACATCTCCCATCCCGACCGATTCCTCCACCCATGTGTTTCTTAGTGATCCCTTCTCTATTCCAGCTGCCTTCTCCCCTTTGCTCATGAGGCAGGCTTCCAGCTATGGAGCAATCTATCTGTTTCGTGTATCTACTGTCCTTAGGTGTCAGTCTCATGTTATGTTGTTTTATATTCTGCAAACGAGTGCAGTCCTTCTATGTCCCTCTCTTTCCGACTCATTTCACTTAGCATGATACTCTTCATGTCTATCCATTTATAAGTAAAGTTCATGACTTCATCTCTCCTGACAGCTGCATAGTATTCCATTGTGTAGATGTACCAAAGTTTCTTTAACCAGTCATCTGTTCTAGGGCACTTGGGTTGTTTCCAGATTTGGGCTAAACAATTCAAATTTCTATAGGCTTGAAAGCACCTAGGAAACATTTTATAAAAGAGAAGGAAAAAATATAAAAATGCTTACTAGATCAGGCTATGTAAAAACACATTTAAATGTGGATAAAGAATAAAAAGAAAACGACTGGATAATCAGTCTTCAATATAGCATTCTTTGGAAATCATACAATAAAATAAAAGGTATAGAAATAAGTCAGTTTAAACTGGATAAAAAAAACCCTAAGTATCATATATGACCTTTTTACTATGTTAAGAGAAAAAAGTTCTGTATAGAGTATGCAAAATGCAGAAAATGAAGACTCTCACAACTTGAGTTAGACTTCTGCATTACGAGGTGAAAGGCATGGTTACATCAATTTGCTAAACAATAAAATTCTATCATTCCATATGACCTACCCAAAAGAATAAGTGTGAAAGTATACATCTGTGCCTGTAATTTAACAGAAATTAAGTCTTAGTAAAGCTATACAGTTTTTCCATTTCCCTTCTTACATTCAGCGGTTTACCTTTTATGATTATACACTTATTTACCTAAGAATAGCAAATTCTGAACCATATTCAGGATATAAACTTGATTGGTAGAAACTGGATTTCAGTACTACTTTTTGTTCACTTTTGTTTGGGGGCCACACCAGGTTATGGTGAGGGCCTACTAGCTCTGCTCTAAGGAATGACTCCTGCAGTGCTCAGGTAACCATATCAGATGTCCAGGATCAAACGCTGGTTCACCAAGTACAAGGCAAATGCCCTACCCTCTGTCCTACCACTCTGGCCCCCAAGATTCCAGTAATATCTTTAAACTCTTAAAGTCTGAGAAACGAACAGAAAAATCTGCAAAGGATTCATGAGAATATGAATTTTACTGAATACTGGATTTAGTCACAATGTGCAGTCTGAAAAATATCTGGTCTTAGAATAAGTGGACAACTTTTGAAAAACATCAGAATGTTAAGAAAATAAAACCCAGCAAATAACCAAATCCTAGAAAAGGTAAAGTACTTAAAAGATCACTCTATCTCCAATTCCTAAGAAATCTTTTAGTTGTTTTCTAACCAATGTTCAATTGGTTAGAAACGGCTGTGAAAGTACTCCTGGGCTTTTGTTAAATTACAGTTGACAGAAAAAAAGTATTTGCACCTTTTTTTTTCTTTTTGGTTCACACCTGGCAATGCACAGGAGTTACTCTTGGCTCTGCACTCAGGAATCACTCCTGGCGGTGCTCAGGGGACCATATGGGATGCTGGGAATCGAACTCGGGTTGGCTGCATGCAAGGCAAACGCCCTACCCACTGTGCTATCGCTCCAGCCCCAGTATTTGCACTTTTAAGAAACAAGCAGCATTCTGAAATAAATTTGCACTTACTTGGTAATCATTTCTCTTAATATTTGGAACATCCATATTGTGAGTGGAAGGGCAAATATCTTCATATTTTTTGCCCGTGAAAATATCAATTCCAACAAGGTGAACCTGTACGAGAACAGGACTCCTATTTAATCTTCGCCAAGTAAATCACTCATTACAGACACAGGAGCACAATACACCGATCATGACCAATTATTTCTCCTTCCAAGGTCATCTAATTTTACTCTTTAGAAAAACGGAGTGGTTACTGAACGGAGAAGCAGGGAACACCTAGACAGTGTTCTGGCGTATCAAGATTCAGCGTCACATACACTTCAGGAATCCAATAAAAAAAAAAAAACATTAAGGAAGGTTCCCTAGAATTATGTGAGAACAGGTTTTCTCATCTGCAAACTGAAAAGTCACTTCGGATGCAGGAAAGTTTCAGTTCCCAGTTAATGAAAATGAGGGGTGCAGGAAGGAATAGTCTTCCAGTAATCTAAGTAATCTCTGATCACCCAGTAATTATTGTAAGAAAAAAAAAGTGCTCGTTACAGAACTGTAAGTAGATAAATCTCAGGCTGTGTACTGGAATACAGAACGATTAAAAAACCCCGAGGCCAAGAGACTGGAGGGGACCCATACCTTGGCGTGCCCGTGCTTCCCGGTCTTGGAAGTTGACATCTCCACGATTTTGCACGGCCGGCCTTTGAGTACCACGAACCCGTTTTTGCGCAGCGCCGAGCACTGCATCGGGTAAGTACTGGAAGCTCCTGCGTCTCCAGTCGCGAAATCGATCTCATCTGCCATCCTGGGCGAGGGGCTGGTGTGGCTCTTCCTAGGGAACTACGCACAAAGTTTGTGCATTGGGGTTTTTGGGGTTTTTTTTTCCCCCCACAATAGGCATGCAGGCAGAGGACGGTCTTCACGGTGCGAAATGAGCTCATAGTCTTGCATTTTATGGAGCAGCTGCGGCCAGTGGGTCTTTGCTAATTCCAGCCTCGACAAACTTTTGCATGCATTGATGGGAAATGGGGAGGGGACGCAGCTCGCCGCGGGAGCTGGAGACCCAGCCCCGGTGCGCGCGGCAGGAGGGTGGGGGGTGGGGCTGCAGGTCCCGGTCCACCCCGCACCCCCCACCCCGCGGTGGCAGCCGACGACCTTCTGCGCCACGCCGCGGGCCCTCGGCTGCCACCCGGAGCATCCCCGCTGCGGGGGGCCCAGCCCAGGCCGCAGGTCCCCGCGAAGGATGCAGAAGCCCGGGAGCTGGCCAGGAGCACTTGGCCCTCGGGCAGCGGCCCGAGCTCCCTCCACCCCCAACCCCCGCCGCGGCCGCCCGGGCCCCCTCGGGCGCCCCCCCGCACTGCCCGCATCCCCGGCCCGGCCCGCTCCGGGCCTGAGCCCCGCCGGTGCCGGCCCCCGCCTCCGCCAGCCCATCCATCCCCAACTCGCTCCGGCTCGGGGACCGCGGTGGGCCAGGCCGGGCCCTGCTCGGCTCGGGTCCCGGTCCCCCTCGCTTCTCCCCAAGTCTTCACCTTGCAGCCTCCCGCCTGCGTGCGGACCGCCCCGGTCCCGGACCGGAGATGCAGTGGCGGCGGGGACAGCGCTGGCGGCCGCGGCGGTACCGAGAGCCGGGGCGGGGCCGCCGCGCTTGGCCCCACCCGCTCTCCCCGCCCCGTCCCGCCCCCACCGCCACTCCGCTGCCGGGATTGGCCCGGCGCGCCGCAGGCACCGCCCTCGCGGGCTGTCATTGGCTCCGAGGTGGTGGGGGCCCCGCCCCATCACGTGAAGAGTGCCCTGGCAACCCCACGTGCTGCGGACTCGGGCACTTCCGGCGTGAAGGGTGCTCCCTGGAGTCAGGGTACGGGGGCCAAACTGGACCAGAAGTGAACTTGCTCCCTCTGGAAGTTTTATTTTATTTTTTTAATTTTTATTTATTTATTTTTTAGATTTTTATTAGTGAAATACCACGAGGTACAGTTGTAGACTTATAAATTTTTGTGCTTGGGTTTCAGTTATATAATGATTGGGTACCCATCCCTCCACCAGTGCCCGGTCTCCACCACCAATGATCCCAGTATCCCTCCCACCCCCATCCCCCCAACCCACCCTGCATCTGTGGCAGGTCATTCCCCTTTGTTCGCTCTCTCCTTTTGGGTGCTGTGGTTTGCAAAAGAGGCATTGTGTGGCAATCATGTTCGGTCTATAGTCTACTTTCAGTATGCATCCATGACATTTGGGTGGTCCCTACTCTCAGAGGCGGGGCGGGAAGCACCTGATGACCGGTAGCCTTCACGAGGCACAGGAATGGGCCGGGAGGACACTCGGAGCTGCGAACCTCTGGCTCTGCTGGTGTGGTCCTTAGGGTGCAAACCTTAGCTCAGAGAGGGTATTTGACTGCAGATACGGCACCCGGCTCCCACCCGGAGAGCAGAGAATGGGAGCCCAGCTACCCCAGGTTGAGAGTCTGGGAGCTTTGGGATTTGGAACTAGGGCAGAATCCCATCCACAGGTGGAGTTCCTAAGAAAGCCTCAGACTTCAAACCAGCAACCAATCCACCCCACCACCACATAGTGGTTCTTGTTGGGTTGTGGAGACAAAGGGTGTCTGGCGTGTACTGCTTTGTCCAGGCCAAAAAGGTGTTTTGCCTAACGCGGCCCCACAGCCCGCCTTTTTAAAAAAAAATCTCTTGGTGTTGGCATTGAGTTTGAGAGATGTCAGGTTTTCATAATAGGCCTGGAGTCAACAGAGACTTCATGAAGATGAAGGACCCTTAAAAAAGATGGACCCTCACTTTCACTGGATCTGTTTGAGAAACGACCAAAGTCTCTCACTGTGGCAACATGATCCAGAAAGTTCTTTTAGCATGCTAAGAGAACTGAGGAAGAGGGACAGTGATTTCACCTATTTGTGGGGGGAGCACTTGGCCTCCGGGCGGTAGGCGTAACTCCCCCACCCAGCCAGCGTTTTTTGCCAGTTATATTCACGTACATAGTATGTGCATGATACCCAAGGATGGTGGAAACGAAGGCCAGGAGGACTGGTCAGTGGTAGAAAACTTGCCACAAAGTGGATGGGGGGATGCAATTAGGACAGAGAAGGGACTACTGTGACAATGATAGTTAGAAATGATCCCTCTGGACAAAAACTTTGCGCTGAAAGGAGGTAAAGTGATATGCATGATGCCCTTTCAGTAACAGTATTGCAAACCATAGTGCCTAGAAGGAAAAAGGGTGTGTGTGTGAGTGTGTGTGTGTGTGTGTGTGTGAGAGAGAGAGAGAGAGAGAGAGAGAGAGAGAGAGAGAGAGAGAGGAAAAGTGTCTGCCTTAGAGGCAATGGGGGTGGGACAAAGGGAGGGCAACTGGACATGGGTTGTGCAAATAAGCACTGCCGAAGAGATGGTGTTGGAACATTGAAAGTTAATCTTGAGTGTGGAGCATGGTGATAGGCACTGGAACAGATAAGACGCGACCTTGCAAAGCAGCCCAAAAGCAAAGCCTCGCATGAGGGAGTATCTGGACAAAGTTGGCCAGAACAGGGTGTCGGTCAGTACCAGGTGCTCGGCCTTGAGCCTCACTCGATCTTCTAGTCACATGAGCCCAAGACACAGAGCCCAAGTCGCACATGCTTAGCAAGTCATCCTAACTGCAGCAACGAACCTTGATTGGGATTGGACAGGGGCAAAGCAGAGTTGGAAAGGTTATAGGCCAATCATGCCAAACTTTCTGTGATGGGACCTTTCTGTAAATCAAGACCCTCTATAAAATATGTGTGTATTTGGCAAGAAATGAACAGCCGTCAGCTGCTCCCTGAGGGTGTTTCTCTGTGCGTCCCTCATCCTTTGTCCCAGGGCTGCCCTGACCATATACAATGTATACAGGCTCCTTGGGAGAAAACTGTTCCCCAACATAAGCAACTTTGTAACTATATCTCTCAGCGATTCAGTACTCCCCCTACCCCCACCCCTCAAAAAAAAAAGTTGTACTTCTGTTTTTATAAAGGTTTTGTTTCGGAGATTCTTGGCCACGATTACGCTATCACGATCATCCTATTGTCCGTGGATTGCCTCGAGCAGGCCCCAGTAACGTCTCCTTCGTCCTAGCCCTGAGATTTTAAAAAGTGCGATATTCAAGGCTCTTTCAGGGCTAGGAGAAGAAGACCCATCATTGTTACTGGTATTTGGCATATTGGGTACGCCACGGGGAGTTTGCCAGACTCTGCAGTGTGGGCAGGTTACAGCCTGCTAGGTTGTCCAAAGTAAGAATGAGATAGTAAGATATCCGGGAGCTGGGTTTTATAGTCTCTGGGTGTTGGCAGTTGATGGGATTACACGACGCGGGGGGGGGGGGGGGGTACAGTTGGTGGGTGTGAGCCCTGCCTACTGGAAGATGGAGGATCTGCGTGGAGGATGCTCAGCCCCGATCCGAGCAGGCTTGTAGATCTCAGCCCTGGGACCCGCATGCCTTTGTTCCTCTGCCGGTACCTTCCTGCGTGTGGAAAGTGGTCTCAGCATGGTGGTGGCTGGTTCTGGAGGTCTTCGGCTGCTGGAGCTCTGCTTGGGGCGGGGAGGGAAACTCAACCTGCTCCCCTCCAAGGGGCGAGGACAGCCAGGCGCGGGGGCATTTCTATTTTCATAAAGGTTTTGCTTCAGAGATTCTTGGTCACATGACTAGGAAATGGCTTGTCACTGCCCACCCCAAGGTATGTGGTTCTGTGCTTTTGCAGTACTGTCTGATGCATGGTCCTGTTTCTCACCTTGCTATTCAGCTCTATGGTTTTCACAGGTATTTCACACTTTGTGTAATTTAACCTTCACAGTAAGCAACTCCAAATTGAGCTTAAGCTGTAGGTGATATTTGAAAGCCCCACATTGGAATTCCAGTTCAATTTTTTTTTTTAATGCAACCAACTTTCCCTATCCATTGATATTAGGATTGATAATATTTAGCGAGTTCTAAAGTTGGAAATGCTTTAATAGTTTTATGTTTTTTGTTTGTTTGTTTGTTTTCGTGGCTACACATAGTGCTCTGGGTGACATAAAGATACTCCTATGATGTGGCATGGAAGGGGATTCTATTATGCGCTCAGGTCATTGAGCTATCTATCTGCTCCAACTGATAGTCCTTTTTATTTTTTTTATTATTTTTTTATTAGTGAGACAGCATGAGGTACAGTTGTAGACTTACAAATTTTTCTGCTTGGGTTTCTATTATACAATGATCAAATACCCATCCCTCCACCAGTGCCCATTTCCCACCACCACGGATCCCAGTATTCCTCCCACCTCCCAACCCCCCCATCCCACCCTGCCTCTGTGGCAGGGCATTCCCTTTTGTTCTCTCTCTCTCTCTTATTGGATGTTGTGGTTTGCAAAAGAGGCAATGGGTGGCAATCGTGTTTGGTCTATAGTCTACTTTCAGCATGCTTCTCCCATCCTGGGAGGATCCTCCCAACACCTTTATTTGGTGTTCCCTTCTCTGATAGTCCTTTAAAAAAAAAAACTCAAGTTTATTAAGTTACAATTTAACCATTTCAGTTCTGTGCTTTTGAAACACAGGGTTATGTAACTACCACTATAATCAAGACACAGCTTATTTCTTTGCTCCAAAAGTTTCCTCCTCCCCTATCTAGTTGCTGACATTAAAAAAACTACTCTTAATCTATACTTTTAGTTTTGGGAAAGGTAAAGAAACGTTAAATAATTTAACCCAAATCATCACAGAACTAGTACTGTAATTGGAGACTGGCACTATGTCTATTTCCTCTTGGAGCAATGGTTTATTTGCTAATTCAGGATTACACTGAATTAACTAGAA